CCAGGTGCAGGACCTTGCACTTGGCCTTGTTGAACCTCATGAGATTCACACGGGCCCATTTCTCAAGTTTGTCCTGGTCCCTCTGGATGGCATCCCGTCCCTCTGGCGTGTCAACTGCACCACCCAGCTTAGTGTCATCTGCAAACCTGCTGAGGGTGCACTAGATCCCACTGTCTATGTCACTGATGAAGATATTAAACAGTACCGGTCCCAGTACGGACCCCCTGTGGGACACCACTCATTACTGATCTCCATCCGGACATTGAGCCGTTGACCACTAACTCTCTGGATGTGACCATCTAACCAATTCCTTATCCACTGAACAGTCCACCCATCAAATCCATACCTCTCCAATTTAGAGGGAAGGATGTTGTAGGGGACCACGTCAAAGGCCTGAGAGAAGTCCAGGTAGAATACCCCCGTAGAAGAGGAGGACTGATCTGAAACAGACACATTTTGCATGGTGGCTGCATTTGTAATCCAAACCAAGACTATCTGGGCTTATTGCTGAGATGTGGTGGGACAGCTCGCCTAAGTGCTGCAACAGGTGGTTATAAGCCCTTCAGGAAAGACAGGCAGAGGAGACAAGAACATGGCCTGCCCTCTGTCTGAAGGAGCAGCTCAGCTGTGTGAGACTCCTCTATGGGACGGGTGAGAATTTGCAGGTGAGGGTCAGAGGAGAGACGCTGTGTGTCTCTCCCTGTGTTACACAGAGAGTAACTGTGATACTGTGGTGGGGGTGTGTTAGTACTGATCACAGTGAGGAAAATGGTGAAATCTTTGAAAAATTAAGAGAAGTCTTAGTGTCATAGAAACTCTCACTCAGGAGAGGGATATCCCTGACATCTCCTGGAAGAGCAACATGGCTGGATGCAAGCCATCCAGGAGATATTCTGGAAGATGTCAAGGGTAATTTTTTGTTGTACAGGTACTGGATGGACCAACCAGGGTTGAATCACAGCGGGTGATGCACAGCTGGATCTGCTGTTCACTGAGAAGGAAGAACTGATTGGGGATGTGGTAATTGGTGGCTGATTTTGATGTAGTGGAGGTCAAGTTCCTGGGGCAAGGGAGGGTGGCAGGAGAGTGGCAGAGCACAGACCCTGGGCTTTAAAAGAGCAGATTTTGGCTTATTCGGGGAACTGGCAAGTGAGTTTTCATGGGAGTGAGCTCTGAAGGGCAAAGGAGCCCAGGAAAGATGGTCAGCCTTTAAAGGAGAGCATCCTCCATGCAATAAGGATGGCCCATCCCAATACTCAGTAAACCGAGGGGACGTACAAGAAGGCAGATGCCCAGGTGAAAAGAACTGCCTAGAAGACAGGGAATCAGAGACAGGCCACAAGGAAGGAATTGAGAAACATTGCCTGGGCATGCAGGGGCAGTGTCAAAGAGGCTAGTGCTCAGTCAGAGTTCAGGTTTGCAAAATATGTCAAGGGAAACAAGAAGAGTTTCTACTACTGTTAGC